AGAAAGTAGCGAAAATAAGTACAGATTAATAAAGGTATAATATATATTAATAATAAAATTTTTATATTGTTTAATATACCATTTATTATGCTATTTAAGCAAAATCATTAATACTTTGTTATATATAATGTAACTTTTAACATTTAAATATTAAACATACAAGAATATAATTTTAAAATGTAAAGATACTATTTACATAATAATAAATGTTGTAATGTAATTATTTTAATTGTTGAATGAAGAAATTTTTAAAATTATATTACTTTTAAAAATATTTAAAAATATTTTTTATTATTATTTAAAAATAAAACATTTATATTATTTACCGATCTCCTGGATGTTGCTCAATTTCAAATTTGATTTCGATCAACTTTCAAATTATTTAGATAATTTCTACTAAAGATGATCTGTTTTTATTTTTTTTAATAATTTCAATTATATTCCAAATTATATTCCAATATATTGAATAATAACATATAATTGATCCTATATAAAAATATTAAACTTTAAAACTTATTTCTGCAAATCAACGAAGAGATGCAAAATGTTAAGTATTAATAATATAACTCATAGAAAGATAGGAAAAATTATTTAAAATTTAATAATCATAATAAAGATAGATAATCAAATTGCAAAATTACATTCACTATTATTATTTTAACAACTTTAACAATTCAACAACAAACAAATTTTAAAATTTCAATAATTTTTTGGAAAAAACTTTCTTTAAAATTTTGATGGTATTCAACAAATGCATGAGTAAAGAACACTATGATATTTAAAAATCAAAATTAATTACTTAACAGAATTTCAACAGAAAAAGTTTTTTTCAAAATTTGATAATTATAATCTATCTTCATTATTTATCGATCTATAATCGAAAATTATATTATATATCGATAATTATATATCGATTAATTTATGACATTTTCTCTTTGACCATTTAATCTATTGAAGTACAGAAGAAATTTCATGGATAATTTTGAAAGCTAATAAGTATTTCTATACAAGAAACTTCAAATTTTATGTAAGCATATAAATTTTAAAAATCATTTAGAGAATTCATTTGGTCTTTTCAAATTTTTTTTAGAATGAAAAAGAGATATTTAAGTTCTCTAACCTATAAAAATCTATCGATGATCTATGATTATCAATTTGAATTCAATATTTTCATGACTAATTACAGCAAATATTAAATAAGTTAATTATTTAAATACATACATATATATATATATATATATATATATTGGATTTGTTATTATTATAAAATACTAATCTTAAATATATATTTGATTTTTTCTTGCTTATTAAAAATAAGATGCGATTATTTAAGTAGAGATTTGTTTCGTTTATATTGTTATTTTATTTGTATATTTTATTTGTATATTTTGAAAAATCCTCGTGAAAACTCAAATGTATTTTTGTATGATGCAAGATTTTTAAGAATTAAAAATATCATTTTGATTATTTTACCTGTCATTTTATTTTAGAGCTTAAACAAAAATTTGTAGATTAATTGAAAAAATTATTTTTTTCATTTAATTTTGAGAAAATAATGAGAAGATTTCTGAGAATTTCAAATATTATTTTAATGATAATTTATTTCTAATTTTATTTTATTTTATTTTGTGAAAAAAATTTTATAGATTTTTTTACTATATATTTGAAAATTGAATCAATACCTGTCGCCGAATTGTAGTAAGAAAAACTTCTCCAATGTCCAAGTAATGAAGAAAGCAGCCGGATGCGAAAGAGGCAAGGGACGTCATTATCTTATCTCGAACCATTTCCTGTCAACCTGGGGCCGCTTTTCGTAGTAATCACATGCACACGCCTACGCAATAATATATACAAGCTAACATATATCACATACATATATTCGCGAATGCGTATACTAATGTCCAGTCAAGTGCCAGAGAGTATTGCTTCCGGTGCGTACACCAGCATTCATTTTGGTATTAGTACGTTCATGCATGTGTAGAAGTGTTCGATGTTACATCGGGTAAGGTACTATGAACCCGATAATCGGTTTCCTTCTCCGGTAGACAGCAGGAACCAGACGTCAAATAAATGTCTATATGATTCGTATTATACAGGTTCATAGAAATGAATGTTTTTTTTTAAATTTTATTCTGTAGATCCGAGATATGATTTTAACAATCGATATATTTTGTTAAAATTTAGAAATTTACAAAAAAAGCAGATTTCAGATAATGGCATCTTTTAATTCCTAAATTCTTAGTAAAATATAGAAAAGAATATTAATAGAGATTTTTTAAGAACAAGAATATATTTATAATCATGAAAAAATAGTATCAATATCAACGAAATACACTATAGAATCATGATTCAATAATGCGCTGTGACTTCCGACTGCATCATGAAATACGTAATGCCATTGCCATTAAGTATGCACACCTGTTAAGGTCATCAACAGGTATCACTTACGTCATCTTAGCGTACACATTTGTTGTGACTACTATAGTGATACTGCATATATATACTGTTTTTCTTGTGAACGGATCGATAATTTCTTTAATGGGATTTATTTAGCAATATATCAATTCGAAAAGAAAAGATTCATATTAATAATTTTTCATTCATATTAATATAAGTAATATAATTTACAATCCGAATATATCAGAAGAAATACAAAAGAATTGTTTGTGAAACAAAAAATTTGATAGTGAAAATTATAAAAATTTATAAAAATTTCAATACAAAAATATTTAAATACAAATTTTATATTTTGAAAATTTTCCTTCACAAAACATAGAAATATCTTTTAAAAATGCATAAAAGTTTTATAAAATTTTATACTTAATATTATTTTATATTGATATTATATTTTATTGATATTGTGTGTGATACATTTTTTTAACAAAATAAATTTATAAAAATTATATAGAGATATAAAAATATAGCCACAATTCTATATAAATATTAATTAATATATATTAATTATAATTAAATTTATAATTAAATTATAATTAAATTCTATATAAATATTAATTAATAAATAATAAATATTAATATCGTCATTTGATTAATTTAAGATTATTATTATTATTATTATTCTTTCTAGAAAAGGAAAATATTATCTCTTTTAAAGACTAATTTAATATAATAAATCTTCCATAATCTTCCATAATCTTTATTTATTCCAATTTTAGGCTAAATATACAGTTCAAACTATGTTTTATAATTATTATAATAATTAATATAATTATTATAATACTATTAAATAATTAATTCTCAAATATATATATTATTTTAAATATAAAGTAATAAAGATATTTTTATTATAATTATTTTATATAATTTGTAAGTTTACGTTTTTTTGACGATAAAATTTATTTTTTAACTATTAAAATGATAAAATTTTAAATAATTTTTAAAATTACATTCTAATATCAGATATTCTTATCAGATATTCTATTTTTTAATAAACGTTTTCATTTTTAAAAAAGTCAGCTATGTCATTCTAGTAAGATTCATTAGCATCTCGCGTGACGTGTTGAAGTTCAATTAAATTTTAATCCATTAGATATATTGTATATAGATATAGTTAAAGAGAATTTATATTTCCCATAGAAATATTGAAGAATGCAAATGTAACAAGAAATTTACATATAGTATTTATATATAGAGATGTATGACAGGTTCTTACGTAAATTTATAACTGTCATTGATCGAAATAAACGTGGAGTAAGTACCAAGGACGCCGTAGTACGCTCACCTTATCATGTTCCTACACAATCGAAGCAAAATTCGTCTCGTGATTTGTTGAAGCATACCGATAATGAGAATTCTTTTTACCTCTCTCTTTTTCGTTATCTATCATTCTAACGGTTTATTCTTTTTCCTAGCGACAGTTCTCTTAGGGTCATGATAAAGTGGCTCTGCGCCGTCCGCGTGATCGAACGTGAAAATCTTCAACGACAGCAACCCAAATGAATGGAATACCAACCCACGCCCGAGAGCTGCCTGATAGGCTACCCGATTCGAGGTGAGGCTTCACGTACAGCATGACAGAAATCAGGGACGTAGTATTTTAAATAGGATATAAAAAAAATATAAAAAATTGAAAATTTATATTTATTAATACGAATAGAATATATTTATTTATAATAATATAAAAAATAAATAATGCATTTTAAAATATAAATTTTAATCTTATCAAAAATCATAATAATTTTATACTTGATATTATTTTATATATTGATATTTATATATTGATATTGTGTGTGATGTATTTTTTTAACAAAAATTTTGAATATTGAAATAAAATTTTCATATCATTCTATGTAATATATTTTAAATAAAATTCAGATAAAAAAAAAGAGAAAAATGTTTTAAAATTTTTAAATTTTAAAATCTTTAAATAAATTTTCTATTGGTATTAAAAATTTTAAAATGCAATACAATCGTAAAACACAAATACAGATATAAAGAATCTTATATTCATTGCATCATAAAATTCACAAAAATTTCTTTAAGCAAAAATTACGTTTTTGTGTTCCTTAAAATTTTTCATTCAAGTTTTAAATCTTAAACTTAAACCAGATTTCTATCTTATAAATTCTAAAACTCTTGAGAAAAAATTATTTTAATTTGATTTTTGTTGTCTTCAGATGATAATGAAGATATATTATGATCTATAATAAATATTAATGAATTATGTAAAAAATAAAAATTTTTTAATTTCTGCAGGGTGACAGAGAATATCATGCCGATCCTGATATGCACACAAGTGTACGTGCACGTCGATACGATGTAGCTTGGGTAGCGATACCGTGCTCCTGCGGATTGAAATAATATGCGCCCACGCACGCGTGAGAGAGTGAGTGTGTAGTGTACTAGCACTCCCCGTCGTCTCCTCACCTCTGGCTCATATCGCGGCTCGGTCAGTACCGATTCCCCGACCCATCTACCCACGCCTTGTTAATGAAAACATCTTTTGTCAATGAACTGACGTCAGTCCGAATCGGGATTGGTCCGATAGCGAGCACCACGTGACCTAGCGCCAATCAATGTAAAGACCAGTTTCCCCTACAATCGAGGATTCGAGCGCCATTTGCCCATTCTGGACGGAAGAACGCTCGAGGTAAGGTGTGGCTTGCAGCAGGCTGGCTAGAAGGCCACAGAAGAAAGACAGAGATAGTATATGCTGTGCTTTAAACGTTAGAGAAAGACCGGAAGTTAAAAGAAAGCGAGAGGAAGATAGAAGGCAAGACACGAGAATTGTAGCTGAGCTCTACTGCTCTCTCCGTGTTCGGTGGAGAGTCAGAAGACTGACGTAAAAGAAAAAAAAAAGAACAGGAAGTCGGTACGGCATCTTAGGAAAGACGCGTTGAGCAATGTTGGAAGGATTTGTAAGGTGAGAACGACGGTCTCGAGTCGCGTAGCGCCGAGATACGCGACTGATTTCTTGAACTACGTATTTCGTTCATTCGGACCAATTCGAATGGACTGTTCACGGTGGCTCCAGCATATAACGCAGCATCTCTGTGTTAGTGAAGTGTTGAAAAAGAAGCTGAAGTTGAGAACATGTGTTGTACTTGTGATAGGATTGAGTTCACATTAAAGAAACGACTGAGGAACGAATAATAAAATTAACGTCGAGAAAAAGATACAAACATACATTTGTTATATATTCTATTGTGAAAAAACAAGAATAACATTAACACGTTTTTTATGAGACATGATGTCGAGTAGACTGTCGATGTGGTTGTTGAGATAAAGAGATAGAAAGAAGTGTATGGTGACACAACGCGTGGGATCATGCATTTGTCGAGTGAACTGAAACATTCCGCTACTGTGGCGTTAATTGGACCTGTCGTCTTTATTTACAAAAGGATCAATAATCGAGACAAGCTGCTGGCAGTGCCAGCGGCGGAGGAGAAAGAGGAGGAGGAGTAAAAGAAAACACGGCATTGAGATGCCGTAAGAAATGATGAATACACGTGAGAAAACGTTGAATTGAAACATAGATACATATATATAAAGTTCAAGAAAGACACCAAGCATTTGGATGTCTTTAAGAAACGTATTCTATCATATAATTCTAAGTGCCATTTCGTATTTGAATATTTAAGAATAAATGTATAAGATGCGTGTATATAGAATGCGTCCAAGCACTTAGTATTCATACTGTCCTCAGTTACCGATAAACATCAAATCAAGATTGATATTCAATTGAATACAATCCTAAACGGATATCATGTATATACATTAATCATTATATAAAAATCAATGGTAAAGTGTTACTTGAAAGTGCCATATTAAAAAGAAATTTTTTTTCAACTTTGTTAAGTCTCAAATATTTTGGTTCTCAGATATTTAGAATATAATAGAAATCAATGATTTCATTGTTAATATGAGCAAATTATATCTAGAAAGAAGACAAATGTGCTCTAAAAAAAGAAAATTACAAAATCAAAGAAACATTAAGAGTTTTATTTAATACTTGCAACATGCCAGGTGGAAGTGTTATAGAGGAAGATTTGGTGGATCCTGAGTGGCTTTTTAAGCAACTAAGATCACCAGATGGTCCTAACAAACTTCTTATTTTAGATTGTAGAGCACATTCTGATTTTTCTGAAGCTCGCATTAGAGGCTCTGTACCTTTAGCTATACCTAGCATTATGTTGAGACGACTGGCAGCTGGAAAAGTTGATCTATTATCAACAATAAGGTGCTTAGAACTAAGAAACAGAGTAGAAATATTTCTGTGTGGTGATGAAAGTAGTAGAGGGACATTTGTATTGATTGGTGACTCTACAGATCCTGCAGGACATCAGGGTGAAACAATTCAAGTTTTAAGTCGAAGACTTAGAAATGGTGGAGGATGTGTTGCTATTTTAATGGGTAAGATGATCAACATGTTTGTGAAATTTTTTATTGTTTTTTTTTAAATATATGCATTAAAAATAAAAAAAATATATCTCAATGTTTTTATGATATTTTGAAAAATATAAAGTGATTATAGATAGTGATTATAGATAGTGATTATATTATAAAATTTTTCAAATTTTTATAACCAATTATATCTGCTATAAAACTATCTTAAATCAATAAAAATATATTTGAATTAAATATTGATTTATGTAAAGAGTATTGTCTAATATTTTCTATTATTTTATTGTTATTTACTTTCAATTGTATAAAATTTTTATATTCCTCATTAAAATGTATGTTTATTTCATTTAGCCTTTACTTTTTGTTTATTATTTTTATAATATATAATATTATATAAAGTTATTATATAATAAATATAAATAATAAAATAATAAAAATAATAATAAATAACATAATAAAAAACATATTTCTTCCTATTAAAATCCTTTATTTTTATTTTATTTTATTTTATTTTAGATGGTTTTGGAGCATTCAAAGATAGATACCCTGAATGGTGTGAAGGTAGTCAAACTAGTGGTGAAGGTCCTCCAGGTCAAGATTCTAATGAAGGTGAATTAATGGGTCTTAGATCACTTCGAATTTCCACATTACCTACAAGATCATATTCAGATTCTGACAGTGATAGTACATGTGATTCTGTTGGTTAGTATGTTTAAATCATTTCTTTATGAAAAAATGCATATAAAAAATATGCATTTCAATGAAATTGTGAAGAAATCATAAAGTTATTTTTGTGATTTTTTTAGGTCCTGAGGAGGATAAAGATTTTCCAGTCGAAATTCTACCCCATCTATATCTTGGAAATGCAGCAAATAGCGAAGACAGAGAAGCTTTAGCACGTCATAGGATACAGTATATTTTGAATGTGACCCCTGATTTGCCAAATGTATTTGAAAACGCTGGTTCGATAAAATACATGCAAATACCTATAAGCGATCATTGGAGCCAGAATTTAGCTAGTTTCTTTCCACAAGCAATTCAATTCATTGGTAAATACAACTACCAAAAAAATAAAAAAATCGGTTAATATATTTAAATTTGAGAAATAATTATTTGTTTATTTTTCAGAGGAGGCTCGAAGCTCAGATAAGGGAGTGCTGGTTCACTGTCTGGCCGGAGTGTCTCGGTCCGTTACAATAACCGTAGCCTATCTTATGCACAAATGTAGCCTCAGTCTGAACGATGCCTTCAATTTAGTGCGCAGTCGAAAATCTAATATCGCACCGAACTTTCATTTTATGGAACAATTGCATAGTTTTGAAAAAGAACTGAGAGATAGAGGCGACAGAAGTAATAGAGGAAACGATCAAAGATGTATAGGAGCTTGCCGACCTGGTGGGCCTTGTAATTGTCCAGCTCCCAGTTTTCTTAGTCCCATAGATTTGGGTCTTAGTCCAGATTCGGGAATAGAATTCGATAGGTGGGCATCGAGTACGCCGGCTGAATGAGACGGGCCAGGGGGGACCCAATATAAATTTTAGGTCCCTCCTAGTATGCTGCCATAGCAGAAAGTAGCAAAGAGAAGCCCTAATTGAAGGGTGCGGGAAGTTCACATTTCTGCGAAAAAGAGATATGTTGCTATGATTGCGATAAATTACGATTATAAATATATTGTGATTAAAAATTTAGAATCAGTCAAAAAATATAAAAATTTTTAAACAAAAATTTAGTTTTGAATTAGTTCAAGAATTAAGAATTTTCATTATTAGCTAAATTATTATTAATAACAAATTCCGAAGTGAAAATTAATAAAAAATTCACTATTCATACAACAAATAAGATTTCAAATTTTTATGATAATGTATATTAATTATATATTAATTTACATACGACGAAAAAGGCTTGAATTCAAATATTATTAAAATAATCTTTCTAATATTTTTCTATTAATTAAATAACAGAAATTGTTTTTGACAAAATTTTGCAAACCATAATTCTATATTGTCGTAAAAAAAAAAACGAAAAAACAAAAAAAAGAAAAGAATTATTAAAAAACATAAGTGATAAGTTACTTTCTAAAAGATTATTTTTAATTTAATGAAGTTATAATTCTAAATCAGATTTAAATCTTATTGTAATTTAGGGGGAAAAAAAATAGATATGACTGTTAAAAAGAGTTCTATAACTCTTTTTTAAGTTGTCATGATATATGATGTTAAACATTGAAAGTATTTTATAAATTTAAGTCTGTACTTTCTTACAGATAATTATAATATTTGAATTATTAGATAAAAATTTAAGATTCTTTTTTAATAGTGTTTAAAGACATTTTTTTTGGCTTGATCTATCTATCTATTGTTAAGATAGATTTTTATACATATGAGATGTCTATATTTTTAATACTTGTTCCCTGAACCCTTCAATTATCGAGGCTGTGTTTGATTTTATTGCGAACAATGCTTATTCGAAATGAAATGAAATGAAATACAAATCGTAAAATAGGCAATCATAAATAATTGAATTAAAAACAATTAATAATGAATAACTGCTTGATAAAAAAACACACTTTAAATTCAGAGGTACAAAAAATTGAGAAATCTTTCAGCAGTTTAGATTATTATTATTATAAGAAAGAATAAAAAAGTATATATTTAAAGGCTACAAATCGATACTATTTGAATGTAATTTTTGACATGATTTTTCAAATCCACAAATGTGACTTATCTTAATAAGGAGTACATATTTCCTATGCAAATCTATTTTTTCAAAAGATTTGCAATTTTATGTGCACGTTCTTTATCTTTATCCCTCTTCCAAGTATTTAATCTTGATTAATAATTCAAGACACATCTTTATGGATCATTGCATTTTTATAGGGCATTCCGCGAATCTTTTATTTCTGAAATAAAAAATTTATTTTGCTTAAAAAAAAAAAAAAAAAAAACTATAGAAATCATATTCATATATTTCAAAATTCTGACAAAAAAATTCTTCATAGTAATTATATATGGTTTTGATCCTCAGCGTTGGTACAAAATGAAAAGAAAAAAAAACTAATTAATCATAGACATACATATGATAATGTATAGCAATTTGAAATACACTAAAAAATTCTTAATTGTACGATCCAACACTGTTTCTATTATCTTACAGATCTCAGATTATATATTTCAAATTATTTTTGTAAGAAAAAAGCAAAGAAAGAAAAAAGAAAACAGAAATTACATATTCACATTCCCACGAGCCACAAATGACCTGATGATACTATTAAAAAAAAAAAACAAAGAATAAAATAATTATCTTTCATGTATGTATTGTTCATCGAAGATAATTGAAGTTAATGAATGTACACAGTGAATGTTATTATTTTTCATTGTAATTAACTACAAAATCTGGTTACTTGACCGACTCTTGACTTACTCGTGAGAGTGAATTGGTATACATATATATATATATATATATTTATATATATATAAATATATACATATATGTGTGTATATTTGACGTTAATGTAATAATAATATTCTACTATTACACTTGTTGTCTGTTGTATGTTTGTCGGGCAAGTGCTCGAAAGATTTAATTACATTACATGTATATTACATAAATTATTATTTTATATTCATTGTTGTACATATATTTTAATTAATTTTCATTTTAAAATACACAGATTATCTTATCTAAATTGAAACTAAAGCAACTGATCTTTACATATAAAAGGAAAAGGATAAAAAGAAATGTACATGTTTTTTTGATAAACAAAGATTATTTCTCAATTATGGCAAAATGTACTTTTATTAGCAATGAGATAATTATAATGTTTAAACCATCAGATTGCAAAAAATATAAGAAACCTATTTAACGCAATATTGGTGAATATGTTCGTTAATTACAACACTTTATAGTTTGAGTTTTGAGTTCCATTGTTTTTTCCAATTTTTTTCTATATTTTATATATTTAAATAATTAAACTGATTATCTGTTTTGAACAATTTGCCAGCTTATCTGTTGGAATTGTAGTTTCTGATATAGTATAAAGTATATTCAATGCAACTTCTGATTGTCGTACTGCTTTTATTAAATTATTTCGATCTTCTGAATTTGATGTTGTACTCAAAAGCGTTCCTAATGCAACAAGAGTTCTGAATACTGCTTCAGATTCATTGAGACGTGGTAATAATGAGAACATTGCATTCAGACATTCTATTTTACCAAGGGTATCATTGTATTTATTCAGAGCTACAGTTAAATTCAATATATAAGTTGAAATTGCTACCTAAAAATATGCAAATGCAATTTTGTATCAATTATTTCAATTCATACTTTCAAACTTTTAAATGATATACATTTTTTTTTATTTATTATTCATACCTGATTATTTTTATTTGTAAGGGATTCTAACTCTGATAAAAGCTTTAGTATTTCATCTTTGCAATTAAGACATAGTTTTTCACCTTTCTCGTGACTGAACATATTTGCCAGTAAGCGAAAAGTGAGCATTTGATTAGAAGGAAGTGCATCAGGTTTGATGTGCTTTTTTACAATTTGCAAGAGTTCTTCTGTACATAATACATCATTGACTTCTCTGCAAAGTACTGCAAGCCTAGTAATGTCGAGCACAGGAAATAATATATCATCTGACCAGTTTAAAAGTATTTTCAAAGTACTTAAAGCATCAGTTTTTAATTGCTCAGAAGCTTGATCACCAGCAAGTTTCACCAAAGATTCCAATTTATCATTTGGTACTTTAAAAGGATCATTTTGTTTAGTATTTAATTCTTTTATCTTTTCTACAAAAAAATATTTTAAATAAATATTTTAAACAATTCGTTAATTAATTTTACTATTATAAATACAATATTTAAGAAATAAGAGCAATAAAAAATATGAATACCTAAAATTTGAGAAAGATTAGCTTGTTCCAATTTCAAATATTTTGTATGAGGTATATAAGAAGGTACAGATGCGTCTGAAGAATTTGATGCTGTTGATCTCGTGAATTCGTGCGAAGCTGTATTTGTTGTCGACTGTGGAATGTACCTACTGCCTCCTGTGAAAGGATCAGCATATTGAGCATCAGTTTTCAAAACTGGTGCAGATTCAGAATTTTTTATTATAAAATTTGCAACCTATAAATAAAAATAAAATTGCCATAAAATTTATTTGTCATTAAAAAATAAATATTTAATTTTCAAGTTTTATACCTGATCTAGAAATAATTGACTAAGACCATTATCATGAAGGAACTTCTGGGCAACATGCCAAGGATCCTGATCATTATTATAAGGTAATTTTAATGGAGGAATACCATCTTGTATATCCACTGAAAACACATAATCATACTCTATGCCATTATAAAGCTGTTTCCCAGATGTAGCTACACTACCACCTGATGCACCCATAACATTTCCAATTTTTATCCATCTTTGCTCATTTTGTGACCAACTATAGGCTCTTATAGCATCTCCATCATTAATTATTTTAGTTTGACCATCTCTCTGTCCAGGTTGCAGCAAAGCTTTGGCATCTGGTAAACTGTTACAATTAAGTTAATTAAAATTATTTATAACTTATTATTTATAATTTAATTCTTATATACTATTATAATTTAAATTCTTAACTATTTGACTTACTCCTTAACTTTGATCCCACCTAATTCTTGTTGAGCATTAAGTTTAACACTAGCTACTTGCTGTTCAAATTCTTGCAATGTCTCTGAATCTGCATAGCGTTCAGGATTACATGAAAATATCCTGACAACTCCATCAGAGCTTCCAGCAACTACATCACCATTAGGAAGTAAAGCCAAACACCATACAGATTGAGTGGGCAAAGTAATAGTTTGACTTAGTTCACTATTATGCCATATCCTAAGTGTCCGATCTTCACTACAAGTAAATATGCTTGTACCATTTTCTAAAGCTAAAATGCTATAGATATAATTTTCATGTCCACAATAAGTTCCTAAGCAAGTTCCAAGGGACACATTCCAATGACGTACAGTGGCATCATTAGCACAAGTTAAAAATTCATTACTACTTATTGCAGATATATCACGAACACAATCAGTATGCCCAATCAATTTATGATGTATGGAACCATCGCTTGTCCATATTATAACCAGTTTATCTGCAGATCCAGTTATAATATATCCACTCAACAAATCTGCCACACACCATACAGCAGCAGTATGACCCAGTAAATTTAATTGTGGTTTACTTAAATCACTTAAATTCCACAATTTAGCACTCATATCCCAGGAACTTGATAAGAATGTTCCTTCCTTTGTACCAGTTGTCAATTTGCAAACAGTATCCTGATGACTTTTTATAATGTTTATGGGCTCTGCTTGGTCCGAAATATAAATTCGTATAGTCTTATCATGACTACCAGTAATAATAAAACCTGTAGGATTTTGTTCAGAAGGATTTATAACACATACAGAGGTGACAAAATTTGAGTGTCCTTTTAAAGTTGCAGTGTGCTCATAATCTTTATCATTTCTGTAAAATGATAATATCGCTTTTAAAATCATGTAAAATATATAACTTATAAATATAGAATAAATAAAGAATTTTTTTTTTAATTTTAATACAATCCTCGAATAGGTTAAATACCCGCATGATTTCCAAATACGTGCAGTTTCATCCCGGGAAGTAGAAACTATAGTTCCGTCGGCGAAGGTTGCTACAGCTCTCACGTCGGATGTGTGTCCGAAAAGAGAAGTTCTTAATTTGTAATACGGTTTAGCCATACCACTCTGATAATCGTGCGAGGCACGCAACAAGGACATAACTTATGCGAAACTGTCAGGAAAATCTTAGCGATTCTCGATGCAAATAAATGTAGATAAATTCGCACGGTTTTGACATTTAAAACGCATTCGAGCATGCGTAACAATAATCACTATATTCGCATGATATTATAAGAAACTATTACTTAAATCATTTTTGTAAATGTAAACAAATTTTTGTCTTTTTGTCAATGTCATTAACCTAATATGATTGTTTGAAATTCAAGACTATTTTATAAAGAATCATAGCTTAAAAATAATTCTGTACTATATAATGTCATACAATTTGAATTAATTGATCATTTTTATAAATATATAATCAAAATATCAATGCACTAAAGATAATATCTCTTTATCTTTTTTTTACTTTACAAAAAACTTTAATCAAATATCGATAGTATATAGTAAATTTGATTCATAGAGTTGAAGCATGTCATTTCCGCAAAGTGAACAACTTCCGTTTGGTTACGTGTTGTATGTGAACCCGCTACTTTAAGATAGGGAAACCGGTCTCGTGGAAGAATATTACGTATAATACATAATGAAATTTATAAATAAATTTCTCTATTTTGTTACGATATTTGGAATAGTGAATGCTGGAGGACCGACACTCGTTTTATTAGATAATTTAGCTATAAGAGAAACGCACTCCATATTTTTTAAGACATTGCAAGGTATGTAAATATTTAACTTCAATACTGCAAAAATTACTGATAAATTCAGAATCAAAATCAGTTAGAAAAACTAAATTTTTCATTATATGTTCAGAAATTAATATTAAAAAAATTTTAATAATATTAATTAAGATTTTAACTAATATTAAATATAAGATAGACTAAGTATTGTAAATGAAAAAATTATAGTACAATGAATAAATATAACTTATTGCAAAAGACTTTAATATAAATTACATTGAAACTGTTATATTATTGAATAAATGAAATACCTATAAAATGAAGATATATACATATATATATACTTTTAAATATGTTAATTTCACAATTCTATAAATAAATAAGATAGATAAATAATAAAAATCTGTATTATTTTATTATCTTATTATTTAATTATCTATAGTTAATTAATAGAAATTATTAATAAATAAAATTATTAATAAAAATTTATAGATAAATAAAAAAAACATTTATTTATATTGCTTTTTTCATTTGCAATACTCATATTAATGTTAATTAAATTTTAATTACATTTAATATTAATTAAAAATATTTTTTAAACACATATAGTGGAAAATTGATTGAAAATTTCTTTTATCTAAATAAAATAATTAATTATTATCAATTGTTTCATATGTTTTTCGAATTATGATGGCATTGTTTATGTTTAATAATATTGTAATATATTAATTGTAATGTAATTTATAAAAATGTATATATATTTGGTTAATGATGTTTTCAATTTTCTTATAGATAATGGATATATATTAACATTTAAATTAGCAGATGATGCTAATCTGCAGCTTTCTAAATATGGAGAATATTTATATCAACATTTAATAATATTTGCTCCTTCTGTAGAAGAATTTGGAGGAGCATTAAGTGTTGAAACAATAACAGATTTCATTGATGGTGGTGGTAATGTCTTAGTTGCTGGTTCATCTCAATCAGGAGATGCTCTACATGAATTAGCATCAGAATGTGGTTTCGAAATTGATGAAGAAGGTTCTGCAGTCATTGATCATTTAAACTATGATATTTCTGATAATGGTTATCATACAAAAATAGTAGCAGATCCTGCCAATTTGATAGATGCTCCTGCAATTGTTGGAAGTAAAAACATAAATTCTTTACTTTACCAAGGAACTGGATTGATTGCAGATACAGAAAATCCTTTAATTTTACGTTTATTAACAGCATCTAGTTCAGCATATTCATATAATCCACAGAATTCTATAAAAGAGTATCCTCATGCAGTAGGCAAAAATACATTGTTAATTACAGCTTTGCAAGCTAGAAATAATGCCAGAGTAGTATTTTCTGGTTCTTTGTATTTTTTTAGTGATGAAGCTTTTACTAGTCCTATTCAGAAAGCTCAAGGTAAGCTTAAATATTATAAAAAATATCATAAATTTTTTAAATTATTAAACATTTTTTTTATAATATTAAAATATACAGGTGGTCAAAAATATTTAAAATCTGGAAATGAAGCCGTAGCAACAATGATTGCTCGCTGGGTGTTTAAGGAAAATGGTGTGATACGTGTTTCCTCTGCTCATCACCATAGAGTAGGAGAATCTGAACCTCCAGCAGCTTATACAATTATGGATGATGTAGTTTATTCTATTGATGTTCAGAAATTAGCAGGAGATAAATGGATTCCTTATGAAACCAATGATCTACAATTAGAATTTGTTAGAATAGATCCTTTTGTTCGTATGACTATGAAACCTGTAGGTAATGGTCGATATGAAGCAAGATTTAAAATTCCTGATGTCTATGGTGTTTATCAGTTCAAAGTAGATTATACTCGTATTGGTTTAACGCATTTATATAGTACCACTCAAGTATCTGTCCGTCCTCTTCAACACACTCAATATGAACGTTTTATACCTAGTGCATTTCCCTATTACATAAGTGCTTTTTCGATGATGGGTGGAGTATTTTTATTCTCTTTGGCATTCCTATATTATAAAGAAGATACAAAACCGAAGTTTGAATAAATTTATTATTAAAAAAAACATATTAATTTATTAGTTATATAAATACATTATTTCATTATAAAATTTTAAAATACATTATTTCATAAAAAGAATAAATAGATGCTTAGTCAAATCTATTAACAAAATATGTTTAAGTCAAATTAATAAAAAAAATCCAAATTATATTTAAATATATAATGACAGATTTATATTTATTTAATAAAATATTAGAAAACAAAAGAAATGATGAAAAAATTAAAGTTAAGATTAAAATTGTACTAAAAGTTGCATACTGTTTTTGGTACAAATAAATAATTTTGAAACATGTTTTTATATCTCTTATAATAAATGAAACAAAAAAAAAATTGTAGAAACAAGTCTTTTTCTTTATATTTATAAATATACATATAATAAATTTAGCACATAGTAGATAATTTTTATTCATTAGGAATTAAGTCAAAAATAATAAGCTAGTTACACAAATTGCATGAAAAATGTATAAATAATAATATAAATATAATATAATTATTTTTTCGATTCTATATTATAAAAATTTTATTCAATTTCAATTATTATAATTAATAATTTCTTTGTTAAAATTTTAACTAATTTAAACAATTTTCATTAAAAGAATTTCGAAGTTTCAATTTGATATTAGTATAATTCATTGTTTAATTTTACATTATAGAAAAAAGTTTCATTAATTTCAAAGTTTTTTTTCGTGATGTTGAAACTCTAATATTTGGCACGATGGTATTCAACGATCGATGAGGATTGTTTGATATGACTCGCATTGTTAATTGATCTTATAATTTTTATCATAAAATAAAGATTGAATGTGAAAAATGTTTTTTTTATGTGAAAGAAGCTGTACCTTGTCGATCGTACGATCTTTTAATTGCTGTTACATCGTGAGTTTTGAAAATTTGAATAAAACTCGATGAACATAACCTATACAAATTATACTTATGCCTGCTTCTGTATATAAGCTTATTCTTATAGTTAAAAAATTGTTCAATCTTTCAAAATGTTGGAAGGACTTGTTGCTTGGGTATTAAATAATTACCTCGGAAAATATGTTGAAAATTTAAATACTGACCAATTGAGCATCGCTTTATTATCTGGTAAGGTTATATTTTTCTTTTCAGTCATATTAATGAGACTTAAGAATAAATTTTTATTAAAAATATTTTTAATAAAATTAAAAATATCATTTCATTGATAATTTGAATTATTTTTTGTTTTATTTATAGATTTTATTATTTATTTATTATTTTATTATTTATTAAATATTATTTGAATTTAATTTTAAATTAAATTTTCGTGAAATTTTTATTTTAAAAAAACTGTTATATTTTAGGTGAAGTTGAATTGGAAAATTTACCATTAAAGAAAGAAGCCTTACGTCATATTGGATTACCAGTAGAAATAAAAGCAGGATTTATTGGTAAAATAAGATTGCAAGTACCAGTTCGTCAAATAAGAACAGCTTCATGGGTCATAGTGATAGAACAATTATATCTAGTAGCTGGACCAATTAGTTTGAATGAGGTATTTATAAATTGTTATTCTCTTATAATATTTTTTGTTTCATATATTATAAATAAGTATGTTTACAGTTTGATAGTGAAGCAGAGGAACAAGCAATTTTAGAATACAAATTAAGTCGATTAGATTCATTAGAAGCAAGATGGAGAGCAGATACAGAACGAGATCCTGGTTATTATGCTACTAGTTATAGTTCTTGGGTGAATTATGGTACATCCTTAATTACTAACATTATTGAAAATTTACAACTTAATATTAAAGATGTTCACATAAGATATGAAGATGGAGTAACATTGCCAAATAGTAAGCAAATTATTTAATAAAATAAAAAAAAGATATATTATTTAAAAATAATTTTAATAAATAGATACTGGCATTGCACTTGGTGTAACTATTGGAGCTTTAACTGCACAAAGTTGCGATGCTAGTTGGATACCTGGTTCTACTTCCTGGAATCTCACAGATGCTTCTTTCAAGCTCATGGAACTTGACAGGCTTTCTATTTATTGGAATCATTTGAAAAAAGACGAATTTCTTGGTTTTCTCAATCTTGGTGATTTAGCTGTATATATATTCATTTTTATATATATTATTTTCTTTAATTTAAATATTGAAATAAATTAGTTATTAATTTTGAAATTGATTTTATTTTTAGATTGCAATGAGTGAACCAAAAAATATAATAAAAAATCTCATTTTATTGCCTGTTAATGCAAGAGCTCATGTTAAAAGGGATAGGTCTGAACGACCATTAAGATCTACAAATAAACCTAGAATGGTTGTCGATCTTTTATTAGATGATGTTCCACTATGTCTTACTGATGTAAGTTTAAAATTTATATATAAATCTGATTTTTATTTAAAATCTGTAATAATAAGTTATTTTTCTTCAGATACAATATGATCAAATAGTTAAATGTATAAAAGGTTTGAAAGATATAGAGCGTCGTAAGCAACAGAGATGCTGTCGTCCAATAGTTAACATATCTACTGCACCAAAAGAGTGGTGGAAATATGCAGTAAGATGTCATATTGGCAAAGATGCTTTGAAACCTAAACTATCATGGAAAGATATTCTTCAAAAAGGCAAAGAAAATATTTTATATGTGGAGAATTACGCTAAATTGCTAGGTATTTAAATAAAAATTATATAAGTTATTATGTTATTATTTTTTGATATTAATAGTGTCATTTTGTAGGAACACCAACTAATGTTTTATCTCCAGATATCAAACAGTTTAAAGAAAAGATAGAACAAGAACGAAGTTTTGATGAATTGAGAATATTAAGAGAAATAGCAATGCAAAGGATTAAACCACCAAAAATACTTCAAAATTCTAATGTAAATGTGCCTCAACCTAGAGGAATGTTGGAACAATGGTTTCCACAATGGTGGGGATGGTATTCAAAAACTTCAAATACAAATACTCAGAGCACATCTTCTACATTTGATGGTGAACTTTTGGATGTTTTGGCAGATACTATAGATGATGATACTTTACTACGTCGAGATACAGTATTTGGACAGTTTAATTTTACTTTGTCTAAAGGCACTTTTTCTCTTTGTACTATGAAAAATAATGGTGAGAACACAAAAGCAATAATAGAACTGCAGTTCGAACGAGTAAATTTGAGTTATGATTCGAGACCTAGGTATGGATCTCATAAGTTTTTCATCAGTTTGGGAGCATTATATCTTCATGATTATCTCACAGAAAATTCCACCTTTCCTATTTTGATACAACCTCAAATGATTCCTACAATAAACTCAAGGATACGAAGTTCTGCAGAGAAATTAACTACTCAATTACCTCAATATCTCTTTGAAATGACTTATGAAAAAAGACCATTGCACTTAAATGCTGATCATTTGCTGCAGGTGAATTCTAAGTCTTTGGATGTAGTTTATAATCCTACAGTAATACATTGGCTTATAGATTTCATATGCAAACCTCATAGATCATCTTCCAATCAAAGATTTCAAGCAATGAAACGTCGAACTCGAAGACAGCTCATCAAAAACTGGGAACAGATTTTAGACGGAGATTTGGTGTATCGTTCTTCCTGGGATTTACAGTTCAATATATCTGCACCACAAATTTTATTAGTTGAAAATTTTATCGATTCCAATGCTGCAGTAGTCGTCGTAGATTTTGGAAAGCTTCATTTATCAAATAATGTACAAAATAATGAAGTAGTTATTAAATCTAATTCTTCTGAACTTAATAGCGACGACGAAGACGAAAGATTTGAGACACCTTGCTCTACACCACCTGGAAGTCAAGAAAATGGTTCCGTACAAGACTTCCAAGCTATTTCTGAAGTAGCATTGCATCAGAAGTTGTATGATCATTATTCTATTGACTTAGTAGATTTGCAAATTCTTGTAGGAAAAGTAAAAGATAATTGGAAGCATGTACGAACTAGAGGGATGTCCAGCTTACATGTTTTGGAACGTTTTAATATATCCTTACAAATTGAACGAAGAGTGTTCGCTTCTTCTGATCCGAATTTACCATCTGTAACTGCATCTGGGAATCTACCAAGATTAGTGGTACATGTTAATGAACAAAAAGTAGAAGCAATTAGACTAATATATAATTTATTATCTAATTTTACGAAATCCACTGGTATTTCTCAAACTGATGTAATTAGTATGGAACCAGAGAGTCCTAAAAAAGAAGATAATTTAGATAAATCTTTAAGTTATGCAATGATGATACAATTTATCATTGATCAAATGACTTTTGAATTGCAATCTAGAGGACGTAGTGTGGCAGAATTACAAGTCTCTGGAGTTCGTGCTGCTTTCAGTAAAAGAACTGCAGACATTAGTATCTCTCTATCTGTTCATGGTTTACTTCTTGTTGATGCTCTTCAAGAATTTGGTCCTGATTTTGAATTATTAGTGGCTAGTCACAAGCATGTAGGAATGGATAGTATTTCTGGAAGTTTAAGAGATTCAGAACCAACATCTCCTGTCTCTCCAATCTCTCCTGGTTCTCCTGATCTTAATATGCCAAGAAGATTAACTTCTCCAATTGCTTTGACTAATGCTTTATCTAATCTAGCAAGCAAAGCAAAAAATGCTCAATCTCCCAGAAATAATTCTTTAATTGAACTGGATAAAATGGATTCTGAAGCTCTGATTGTAATTGAATTGACTCTGGTATATGATACATTAGAAACTCTAAGAGTAGCCAATATTCAATTTAATAATTTGGATATTATTGCCAATCAAGAAACCATAGTAGAACTTATGGGATTTTTTAAAAGAATATTTCCTTCTCGTAAAATAAAGGCAAGATATATTGAGAAACAAGAATCTTTTTCCAATCAAACCATAGAGCTAAAAATTTCGACTAGGACAGAAATAACTTTTGATTTTCATAGATTAAATGTACTTCTTTTAAGAGCAGTGATGCAGGATAATCATTTAGTGGGTCAGAAAATTGCCACAGCTACAATGTGTGATGCTCGTATACAAGCTACCTTGGCAATAAACGCTTCCATTTCTGGTTCACTTGGAGGCTT